ACAATTACTGTCATGAAGTATGGAGCTCTCTTGTCGCAACACGATAGACCTGCCTCTGTCCCTTCGTGTCTTTGTCTCAGTCACTTTCACAGGGCTCTCCTATTTAACACCACAGCCCATTCGCTGGCTCTCTCCATCCCACTTCCCAACTTTAGTTCTCTCCTTAACACTTATCACCATCTGACATAATATATATTTACTTATTTTATTTACCATCTCTCCCCAATCTTTAGCATTAAACTCTATAAGAGTGGGTATTTTGTGTGTTTATTTTGTAAACTCCTAGAACTGTGCCTGGCACATAGTAAGAGCTTAATCAATAGTTTTTAAAGGCTCGCTGCTCAAGTGTATCACTCTAGCAATTTTCTTCTCCCACCATTCTTTTTAATAATTCCTCTTGGATAATTCCCATCTAAGTACAAAATATGCTGTTCACATATTTAAGTGATACACTCCCAAATAAAATACGCAAACCCATACTCCCGACCTTACTTCCTCCTGCAACTACCTCCCCATTCCTCCACTCCCTATTCAAAAATTGTTTAACAGATTTGTCTACATTTATTGTCAACAATTCCTTTCACTACCTTCAGTGTAAATACCAGTCTAACAGCCATTTTTGATGTCCTAGATTACTCTAGTAAGTCTCAACTTTTCTCCCTATTTCAAATTCTGCTTCTCTAGTCTCTTCTCTTCACAGCCACCAAAGTGAGCCTGATAGTCCTTAATAAAGAGAAGTCAAGTCATGTAATGTCTCTAATAGGATATTTCTAATGTTCTTTTATCCCACTCAAAATAAAACCAAACCATCAACCTTTTCAGGTTTAAAAGGCTGTACATATTTTGGACACCGAGTTATTCCCATGTCTAAACCTTTCTAGGCTCACTGGTCTCATTTGCAGTTTTTCAGACAAGCTAAGTTCCCTCTCACTTCAAGGTACTTTCATCTACCTTTCCCTCTGCCAAGCAGACACTCCATGGCTCAGTCTTCCCTTCATTCAAGGCTCAGCTCAAATGTTACTGGAGCAAAAGATTTTCCTTAAACATCCAATTTAATATAACATTTTCATCCCGAACACACTGACTGATTTGTTTATTGTCTATATCACCCTACTAGAAGATAAGCTCCAGGAAAACAAAACAAAAAGTTTTCTCCCTCTCTCTCCCTTTCCTTGTCCCTCTCTTTGCCATCCACTGTCCACTCCCATTCCATCTACCATCCACTTCACTCCCGTTCCCTTCTCTCTCTCTCTCTCTGTCTCTCCTGTTTTATAATAGACAATAATTAGTTATTAAATGAAAAAAAGGCTATAAAAGGATTCGGTCTGTTAAATCTCTTTGAACAAATCAGATGAACATAAACGCACAACTCATTGACACTTAGATACATTGATTTGTGTTTCCCAAGATTTGGCAATTCCCCTCTTTACCTGTGGGCTTTCCTTGTTTATCTTTTGAAGACTGAATTGATCCATTGGGTTTGGTTTCCTCATATTCCTCTTTTACTCACGACTTCCCTTTCATCCTCCTCTACTAGTTTTTCTCATACGCTTCTGGCTAATCTTTCTCAGTCTCCTTTTCAGATTCCTCTTCAGCTACTTGAAGAGTGAACATAATCATTCCTCTAGGCATCGTCTTCTGTTCAATCCAATGACCCTTAAGACAATATGCCTGGCCCAGAGCTCAAAATGTGTTCAAAATGAAACACAGACCTGTAATCACAGCTCCTTCCCTCCCTCAAAAAAGACACAAACTCTAATTCTTCTCCCGTATTGAAATCTCAATAAATAGAACCCATATAAGTAAGAAAATTAGAAGATACGAATTTTCTAATGTTAATTTTACCTTACAATGTATCAAATCTGTCTTCTTTTCTGCCACACTCTTCTTTTCAAAATAATATCTTTGGAATATATTACTGTATGACATCCAGTCTGGACTTGCACATTCCTGCCTCCTTTCTCCAAATTGTTTGTTCCTCTGCAACCAGAGTTACTTACTTTTGTGTGTGTATGTGTGTGAGGAAGATTGGCCCTGAGCTAACATCTGTGCCAGTCTTCGTCTTTTCTATGTGGGTGGGATGCTGCCACAGTGTGGCTTGACGAGTGGTGCTAGGTCTGCACCCAGGAGCCAGCGAAACCCGAGCCACCGCAGAAGCAGAGCACACAAACTTAACCATTACATCACCAGGCCAGCCCCGCTTACTTTTTCTTACAATGAAGGTGCAAAATATTTAACATGGCCCACAATGCCTTGCATGATCAGGGCCCCACCCAGTGTTGGAATTCCCACTAGGATGCTTGTTCTCAGGAAACCATAAAGCATTGACACCAAAATAATTTTTCAAATATTCTCATATTTTGAAAAATGTATCAATCTAATCTCCTAAAGAGAATTAAAACTTTGTTAATCTTTTCTTGTTTGTGGATTAGCATATTATGTAATTACATTTGAGAAGAGCAAATATTAAAGTATTTCCAAAGCTTAGGCCCTCTAGAGATCTGAATCCAAATCTACATGTCCACTTTCATTTTTCCCCTTTTTCCTTGAGCAAATACACTAGTTTTCTTTCACTAATAAATAGCCATACATACATCAGGTACCATAAGGCCTAGGTCCCTATTATTCTTCCTATCCAAATCCTTTCTCCACCCTCCTCTCCTTTATTTATTAGCTAGTGAAGGACCTCAATCATCTCAGCTAAAGTCTCTTCCTTAAGTTACCTTTTTCTGACCTCCAAAGACGGATTCACATTTCCCTCTTAAATACTCTCATGACACATAGCATATATCTTGGTCTGTAATTACCCAATTATTTGTTTCATAATTTTGTTAATTTCAATTTCTCCAATTAGATTTTAAACCCCATGAAAACATGCCACATAGCTGGTGCTCCATATTTGTTGAAGAAACGAATGACCCTTTGTGTAGGAGATAATGGATTTGATACTGCTTCTCAAGTTATAGATTCTTTTAAACTTTTAAAGTTAGCTATTGAGTTAATTAAACCTTTCTTTGTCCTCTGTCAATATGTTAACATAGGTAATGCTTTGCCTCCTTGAACACAGCTGAATTCCCTAAGGCGTAATTTATTCCTGCTCTGCCAGCTGAAATACAGGTTCTATGACCTTCTCTTTCCCCTAGTGACTTGGACATTTATTTAGTCATTTATGGTTATTTAAGTGTCAGATTATGCTATTCTCTATATTTGCCCCATGGGACATTGCCAAAGATACCTCAGGATCACATTTCTAAAGGAATGGCAGCAGCATTTACAAAAGTACAAGAAATATAAATGGAAAGCATATTAAAAAAATCTCATTTCTACTATTTCTACTACAAAACCATTTCTACCACAAAACAAAATGATCTCTAAGGCCAGATTTCTGTCTAAGTGAATGTATATTTTATTTAAACAAAATAAAACACCTTATTTAAAAAATACAGAGGAAACTAATATGTATTTTGACATTCTAATATATAATATAATGTTTTATTGTACCATTATGTAATCATCAATAAAATTTTTATAGAATATAAAAATTACATGCAAAACAATAGTAAAATATATTAAAATCTAATAAAAATATATTCATAAATCTTACCACTTTTCTTTCAGATTATCCAGATGGCTTAAATTATTCTTAACATTAAAAAAAATAAATTTGCCAGTGTATACAGGATACTCAAATAATTTGTTTATTATCATTGCTGAAATACCTAACATATCAATGTAATATGGTAATTCCTGAAATATACTAAGAGAAACTCTTATGTGCAATTGGTATTATAAGGATTAATTGTTAGGAATTTCCCTTTATAGAGATCAGCTTTACGAAATTTTCTTTTTGAAAATAGGTGCAGCCTCTAATAGCTTCCCAGGAAACCAATAAGACCTCAGAAGTCTCTCTCCAATCACCTAGTCCACCCCCAACATGTTACAAATAAAAGATGGAGACCTTGAGAGGTTAAGAGGTCACATAGTCTACAGTCAGTGGTCTCCAATGCTGCAGAGGAGAGGGATGGGCGTGGGGGAGCAGTAATGAGAGCTGGCACTGCCTGACTGCAGTGTAGTTTTACAATTCAGTAGAGCAGAGAGGGCGAAAACCAGCCAGAACTGATTTCTCTCTTCATTTAAGTATGATGTTACTTCCCCCAGAAATGGGAAATAATAAAAATGGCAAATGACAATTTTTTAAAAACTTCTATTTTCTGGTTTTACTAATAAAGTTTCAATTACACTTCAGTTTGCAGAAAAAAAGACAACTCTGTTATTTGCAAGTTTACAGAATTGCTGTATATGCTAGTGGATAATTAATTACTTCATATAAAGAAAATAATTCCTAATACATTCACATATCACATAACGACAGGGATACTTTCTGAGAAATGCGTCATGAAGCAATTTCAGTGTTGTGCAAACACCATAGAGTGTACTTACAGAAACTTAGGTGATATAGCCTACTACACACCTAAACTATATGGTACTAATTTTGTGGGCCCACCTTCCTATATGTGGTCCGTCTTTGACCAAAATATTATGTGGCACATGACTGTAGATAACTTTTGTATTTTATTTTACCAAATGTATATTGAATCCATACTAAGGGCCACTCTGAGAAAAAATTATAATTCTTACTTCTCGGTAGGAGTGGTACTTATATTATTATCAACATTTTTCCAGAAGAAATGAGGCTCCCCAAAATTAATCTGCCAAAGGTCACACTTCCAGCAAGCAGCATAAATAATAGAAAACCCCAGGATGTCTTAAGTGATTATAATGTGCTTTGTATTATGCAATAAATACATCATCATCAAAGTATGACAGAAATTCTACCAAAATTGTTGGAGGAGAAATGCAGTAGGCATCCTCTAAATGACTATCAATAATCCTCGCCACTTGATATTACCCCTTTGTGTTAACCCCTCCCCTTGAGGGTGAGATAGATGTATTGACTCTCTTATAATGACTAGAATACAGCAGAAGTAGGGGAACGGCACCTTAGAGATTAGGTCACAAAAAGACCGTGGTTTCCATCTTGGGTGCTCATCCCCCACTCACTCTTTGGTTCATTCACTCTTAGGAGAGCCAGCTGCTATCCTGTGAGCTCCTGTTGAGAGACTAATGTGGCAGGCTGCTGAGGGAGGTTCTAGTCAACAGTCAGTGAGAAACCGAGGTTCTCAATTCTATAGCCTGAGGTTCTTCTTACAGGGTTTTGTGCTCTTGAGGCACTCAGATTCTCCCCTAGTTGAGCTACAGAATAGACTAACTGCAGCTTGACTGAAACCTAATGAGTGACTCTGAGCCAGAGGCACACTGCGGAGCCAGACCGATGCTCTGGGCCATAGCAACAGTGAGATAATATTTGTTGTTTTAAGCCACTCAGTTTGGGGATAATTAATTATGCAGCAATAGAAAACTAGTATGAGATTTCTGTATAAAGTTCTTAATTGATTCCATACAAACAGCTTAAAATAAATGTATGAGTATTTATAAACTATAAAATATACTAATCAGACTATACTATTTATTGTATGCTATACTATATAAAATATGCTAATATACTAATTAACAGAATATATTAATTATTAATATAATACTTTCTTGAAAAATATGCCTATTTTTATTTTAAAGGACATTGAAAAGATGATATGTTTTAGATAAGTCAGAGAGTTATCAATTATATATACCTTCTTGATAAGAGTCACAAAGTCTGTAAAGGCAAGTATGAGGAGGCTTAAGTCTTTCAGGGTTCAAAACACATGAAAAATTATTTCTTTCAGAGAAGGACCCTTTGCAGCCTAATATCAATGTACTATTAACCTAACAACACATCTGATTTGTCATTATTTCTCATACCAAGGGTAAGAAAAATAAAGAAGGTTACAATAAGGGGGGAACAAATCCTCATATTATAATAAATGTAACAATGCCCATGAGCTTTAGCTCTCAAATATATGGTAGACAAGAGGATCAGAGAAATCCATCTATTGAAGAGACCTTGAGTGACAGAGCTGAATACAACGTAAGGAAACTTTTGAAGGTCAGATTCCTTGGAGGTAAGAAAATCTTGAAGCCAGCCAGTCCTGGCAACAAGAACCTATTCTTGTCATAGCGCCTAGTGCCCAGCATGAAGTTGGGTCCCATTTGTAAATACTTTCCTGAGATGATGACCTCTGAAAATGCCCAAGTGGAAATAAACTTCTGTGCCAGTTTGCAATATTTAGGCATTCAAAAAGTATGAAAAGGAGCAATGCCTACAATGACACTGGCCTAGGTTGGTAAGTACCACTGATGACCCACGGAAGGATAATAAGAAACTAAAGTTTGAGAGACGGTGTGAAGATAGAGAAGTGTAGGAGACAGAGTGCCTTTTTGAAAGCTTGTAAAGGGACAGCTGTCTCCTGCAGTAGAAGAGCTGTTGCAGCTGAACAGCATACTCAGAACCTGATAGTCGTAGCTAAAGATCTCCAGAGACTCTAACTAAGGCTGTCTGTTATGCTAACAGCAGTGTTCCAATGAGGAAAACCTAAGACCTAAATCTAGAATGATTATATCAGACATATTATGCAAGAGAAGTAGATCTATTAGAGGATCATGTTCCAAAGGAGGGCCCAAAGGACATGCCATTCTTCAAGGCCATCGGAAATGGGCTGGTGGGGGCCCGCCCGGTGGTGCAGCGGTTAAGTGCGTCCGTTCCAAATCGGTGGCCCGCAGTTCCCCGGTTCGGATGCTGGGTGCAGACATGGCACCGCTTGGCATGCCATGCTGTGGTAGGTGTCCCACATATAAAGTAGAGGACGATGGGCACGGATGTTAGCTCAGGGCCAGTCTTCCTCAGTAAAAAGAGGAGAATAGGCAGCGGTTAGCCCAGGGTTAATCTTCCTCCAAAAAAAAAAAAAAGGAATGGGCTGGTGAAGGCACATGAGCATCACTAAAAAGTTCAATAGTGGCTCTCTTCTATAGCCTAGAGATGACAGTAGGAGCAGTAGTCACAGTCTCAGTTACGTTAATAGCAAAGGAGGCACGGGGCACCAAAGTAATAGAAGCCAGATTTTGATATATAACCTCTGTAAGTTAGAGGCCCCAATTACTCTAACAACCTGAAAGGTCAGAGGAGCATGAAGGGGCCCTGACCTGCAAGAAATTGCAGAGACAGTTAATGTATCATGGACACAATGGTAGTCCACAAAGTTTCTGGGGAACGTCAAAAACCAGAAAAATGATAAGAATAAGGAATCAGGATACTAAGGATGATTGCTGCCCCAAAAGTCATGATACCTTGCTCAGTTCCTACATATTAGCCATTTTTTTGTGCAGAATCCATTGACTGAAAAGCTGCTCAGGTTTCTAGGAGGAAGGAAGGACCCTGCAACCCTGCAGCATTTTAATGATTCCTCCAGTTCCTTCCCTAAAGACATAGGATATTATTTGAGAGACTGAACATTGTGTAAAGGAGAACACCCAGAACTTTCAAGGGATTGAGTTCGTACTGCTACCCACAGACCCAAAGTGTCTTCACAACTTGCCCTCCCCGTTAAAGGTAAGCCTCAGAACAAAAAGTATTAAGTGGACTTCTTGCTAAAACTTAGGCTCACAGATGACTCATTAGGTCCATAATCCTACCCATTGGTAATGTCTCCAGTCTCACAGTATAATTTCATTTGATACACTTGGCATTTAGAGGAATCTCCATATTGGGTCCTTGCCCTACTGGATAAGGACTATGATAGATGAGGAAGGCCAGGTAAAAACCTCTGAAACTGCCCCAACCCCTGGCTAAGACAGTATTAAAAACCATAGTGCATCCCCAAAGGGATGGCAGAGATTAGCGCCACCATTTAAAGACCTAAAGTATGTAAGGGCGGTGGTTTCTTTCACATCTCTTTCACTTACATCTCCAGTTTAATCCATGCAAGAAATACAGGGATCTTGGAGAATGACTGTAGAATATTACAGCTCTCTGAGTTGCAACTAGACTGACAGATGTGTAACCACTGATAGAGCAAATTCTGTGTCACAACAGTTAATTTGGCAAATGCGTTATTTTTAGATTCCAATTAGAAAAGAGAATTCTTTAGAAAGAATTTGCATCCACATGGAATGAAAAACATTCATTTATGGTTTTGCCTCAGGGCCATGTTAAACCTACCACCCTCTGTCATGATGCAATCTGGAAAGATCTTAATAACCTGGGCATCATACTGAATATCATACTAATCCATTACATACTAATTCATGGCATCATGGTGATTAGACAGGACAAGCTAGAGGTAGCTAATATGCTAGAAGCCCTGGGAAAACACTTGTACCACAGAGGGTAGGAGGCAAATGTTATGAACATTCAGGGACTTATGACTTCACTTCAGTTTTTAGGCATCCAGTGGTCAATAGCATGCCAGCATATTTCCTACAAAGTTGAGACAAATTGCTGCATATTTCATCTCCTCCTACAAAGAAGGAAGTACTGCTAGGCCTCTTTGGGTTACAGCTAAGAATAAAGAATCTGACTGATATACTACATGGCTTGTGGAAGACTTCCAGCATTATATGGGGCCTGGATGAAGAAAGGTTTCTGCAGCAGGTCCACATTTTAGTGCAAGCACCCCTGCCATCTGGGCCGTACAATCTACCAGACTCTATGACATTGGAGGTGTCAGCGGTATCAATAGATACAGGGCAAAGCATGAAAACATGCTCCAGTGGGAGAATCACAACACAAATTCCTGGGTGTCCTCGTAAAAGAATTGTGTATCTTTTGATAAACATATACTGTATGTTAAATATAGAATGCTTGGGCATGCAGCACCCTGTGAAAATGTGTGTAGTACTGCCTATTATGAACTGCCTCTGTTCAACTCATCAAGTCGTAGAGTAGGATGGGCTCTGAAGCAATCCATTATAAGATGGAAATTGCACATCTGGGAGAAAGGATGAGTAGAAACAGAGGGCACAAGAAGTTGCATTAGCAGGTAGCCCAGACGTCCAGTTTCAAACTACAATTGCATCAATGACAGAGAAAGCCTAAAGTACCTTGAGCAGACTGTTAGTAGAGATCTGCACTTCAAGGACATTGTTGGTGAGAGCTCAAAAGAAAGTGAGAAACTTATTATTGGAAAGTGAAAGAATCGTTATGTGGTGTCAAAAAGCTTTGCAAAATTCTATCCTGAAGTTATGTGGAAATCAGAACATACAAGCATTGAATTCAATTATCCAGCTAAGGAGATATCTAAGCAAAGTGTTGCCTGGTTTCTTCCTTATTATAGGAAAATATGAGAGGAGAGACATAAATTGAGGGAAAAACTATTAAATAAAAAGACATCAGGGCTTGACTATTTTGACAATTCTCAGCCTCTCCGTATAGCAAAAGATGATAAAGTCAAGAAATAGTTTCCAAGCATTATTAGGAAAAGTGAAATTGAGATAAGCCCTGGACTAAAGAACAAGCTGAGGAAGTGACTATAAATTTTGTGGAAATCTTAGAGAGATCAAAGGTCAGAGTACTCAGTCACACAGAGGACCCAATAAAGAGATAAAAGTGTGCCTCACAGAACCTCTCAATCTTCAATAGAGCCTCTAGGACAAATAACCATGCAGTTTCTCAGCAGTAGTTCAAGGTAGAGCAGGGCTGGCCTCAAAGAGCTCTGTGGGTGTGGCTCTTATCTAATGGAGTGACCCCCAGTGTGAAATCCACAGAAGATGCATAAGTGTTAAAGAAAGTTATTTCAGTCAAAAAAAAAAAAAAAACAAACCAAAAAGCAAACCTTGAAAACTTGGACCTTGGACTGAAAGGAACAGAGAGAGAGCACAAAATGAAAAGAGGCTATTGGGCCCCTAAAATTCTGCTATCAGGAAGCAGACTGATAAAACCACTCAACTTCGAATGCATGCCACTTTTTATATAAAAGAATGACTCAAAGGGTAAAACCAAGAGCCACAGATATTATTATCAGGCCTTTAAAATCCTTGTAAAGAATATCCAACTTCTGCCCAGTTGTATTTCAGAATTGCTGTGGACCGATGACTCCTCTATATCTCTCATGTCCCCTATTTTTGAACATGTTTGCCTATTTTCCTATCCCTGTCCCACTATTGTATTTTGGATATGGAGGAGAAAGAATTTGTCTCTCCAGTTTTACCTGTTTAT